AAACCGTATTGTTCTTTCTATGATCATGTAGAAGAACTAGAATCACCATTTATGAGTGTTTGTTAGTTTTCATTTTAATTAGACTGTTATTACCCCAAGTTTAGATGTAAAAGTGATGTCCATTGAGGTTTCAATGCTGACATTATGCTCTTAGCTAGGAGCTTTGGGCAAATATTAGATAAAACACTGTAACACTAGAATTTTGTCCATAAACAACAGACTCTAGTCATGGATTCTGCATTTGTTTGTTTGATTTGGATTGAGAACATAATCCTGGGATCTTTTTAATGCTAAAGTTCCTGCTTATGCCTTTGATCAATAGGGATCAATAGGGTGTGGAGGAATGATGATATCCTGAACATACTTTAATGATAAACAAATCTAAATGGATTATTCCAAGTTATTACAGAAATGTTATGAAAACAGAATATTCTGTTGCCTGAAATATTGATTTGGAATGTAGCTGACATTGAGCCAAGAGATATGTACACCTAAAATGTTGCTATATTTTTAAAGACTGAATTTGGATTTTGAAAACCTTTTCTGAATGCAGGAGGCTATGCAAAAGAGAGTTCTTGCATCTAAAGCTGCAGCAGAGGCATTGAAGGAGGCCATTGCTACTGAGTCTCTTGTCTGGAATTTAAGGTTTGGATCCATTCTCATGTGCATATATGCATGCAACTCCTGCCTATCATATTAGGTGTTGCAATGTTAAATAAATACGTAACAGTATCTTGATGCAATAGTCTTTTAAGTTTCTTCTGTATCGAATGGTCGGAATTATCACCTTAATTTATTTGGTATTATTTATTTATGCATTTAGTTTGAGGAAATAAATTCTCTATGCACAAATTAGACAAAGCATCATATTTTGTCAGCAAAACTCTGCCTACTTTTATGCCCCTATATTTTCGAGCATGTTTTCAGAACTCTCTTCCCAAATCCAAGGCTGGGAATCCTTTGCCTACCATAGACCGATTTTTATCGATTTATGATGATGTTGTGAAGTATACTGGGATTGCTGAGACATTTGCTGCTAGCCACAATTCCGATACTGGAAATGCCTCCACGAAGCACTCAAAATCCTCTTCTCTATGGGTTGAAGCTGCACTGGCTGCTGATCTTGAGATAGTCTCACTTCTAACCCCCCAGAACAATGAGTCTCCATCAGCTGTGAAGAGAAGTTTGTCAAAAGGGCAATCTCATCATGCGTCACCCAAAAACCAACTCAAAGCCAGTTCAGCCAGAGCTGGAACCTACTGCTGCAATGTGGACTAGAGGTCAAGGAATGAAAGAGACAGTACATTTTGCAATGAACTTGAAGTCTGAGATGCAAATGTGGTTTCTCCGCTTGATTGAGGAGTCCCTGGATGCCGGTTTCCAGGTGCTCGGAGAGTGTGCTTCTGGTGGTAGCAAAGCATTACTTTTGGACTGTGGCTCCATTGCAGCAGTTTTATCACAGTTGAAACGGGTCAATGATTGGTTAGACCGAGCGGTTTCAAGCGGGGATGAGCCATTGGTAGACAAGGTTGAGAAATTGAAGAGGAACCACTTTGTCATTCAGCATGTGGGAACCACTTTTGACAATTCCTCGCATCTTTCTTCACCATGATTATTGGTCTACCTTTTTTTGCTCCTAACTAATACAGAAAGCATCGTTTTGGCGTATCAGAATTCATTTTTAGTTGTTTTAAAACCTTCTCTGGATTTTATCTCGAATAGAGCTAAAGGATTTGAAAGGTTTAACCTTTTCAAATGCGTTTTGCGTCCCAACCAGCAGCAGAATTTGACCGAAACCCTCGACCTTTGCCTATGTTTCGAGCCTTACCCCTATTCCCACACCGAAACTTAGCCTCAAGTCCGCAAACTGGGCATTTTGCTTTTTTACTTGAAATTGTCAGTATCACGTAAACTAAAAATTTAATATTTTAACGGGGACGTGATTGGTGGCTATTATTTTTTAGATATGTTCATAATTAATTTAAAACTGAATTAATTGACGTTAATTCGTTGGTTAATCAATTGGTTATTTAATTAATTTTGATTAATTATAAAAATGATTTAGAGAAAATTTAGATTCTGCTTGGTTTTAGAAAATATTTCTTTATTTTTTTATTTTTTAGAAAATAGTTTTTATTTTCTAGTTTTTGTTTTATAAAAAATATTTTTAGCAAATGAAAATAAAAATTATTTTTTAAAAAATAAAAATAAGAAAGTAAATAAAGTATTTAATACTAATATTATTAATGTTATCTAATTATATATAATATAGATTTATTAATTAATGACATTGAAAAGTATTCAATTATGATAACTTATAAAATATATATTAAAAAAAGTAATGTATATTTCTTATTTTCATAATTAAAAATATTTTTTGTTTTTATATTTTAATTCATTTTTATTTTCATTTTTTAAAAATGTGTTTTTATTTCCAATTACCAAACATATTTTACTTATGTTTTTTATTTTTCAATAAAATAAAAATAAAAAATAACTTTATTTTCTAAAACTAAATACTACTTTAGTTTTCATTTAATTTGATTTGATAATCGAATTAATTGAAATATAACAACGATTTATATAAAACTAAAAAAACATTAAATAAATCATTTTATTTTATAAATTATTAAAATTTTTAACTTAATATTTTGATATTTGAATATTTTGTTAGATAATTTATTTATTTGTATTAAATATGAAATATTAAGAATTTAAAATATAATATAATTTAAATATAATTTATTATTTAATTAATCAAAAAATTAATTAAATTGATTGAATTAAATTCGATTGATTAACTTTTGAAATTAAAAAATTTAAATTGGTTAATGAAAATAAAATAAACTAACTCAATTACTTCAATATAAGATAACTTTATTTAAAATTAATTGAATTGATTAAATGAAACAACCCTAAGTATCTTGCTTTAGTTTAGCTTAATATTTCATTTTTTGAGAAAGTGGATTTCTATTTCAAAATAGTGTCAGTTTGCACCATATTATAATCCTTTGCTTTTTTTCTAAAAAACTTTTTCCTAAAAAAAATTAAAGATAGTGGCAGTAGTAATATTTTTGAAGTACAAAAAATGCATTTCCCATAACACCTAGATAAGAAAGGGGAAATTTTAATTAAAAAAAGGTGCAACAAGTTTTTTTATTTTTTTTCTAAATCAACTACATCTAACGGATGTTTTATAATAAGCATAAAAGAGGCATGATAAAAAGAAAATGACTACCGACAAAAGTCATACTCTCTTTCTCCTTAATTAAGGTCGGTAGTATATAAAATCAAAATTTGAGTCAAATAATTTAAAAAAAATCAAGATCAAAAGTTATTTAATTTTATATTTTATTTTAAAAAATATTTTATATTAAAAATAATATTAAATAATATTTTATATTAAAAATATTTTATATTAAAAAATTAATACTTTATTAATTTAGGTCAAGTTGATTGATTATAAATTTAAATATATACAAATTAAATCAAATTTAAATATAAAAATAATATTTTAATGTCAGATTTGAGTATTAAATTTATAAAATTATATTGAATTTTAAGACAACAAAAATTCACCTTATCTGACTTGTTATTATCTTTATTAAAAAATTTTATTTGATAAAAATATGAAAAAAAATATAATTTTAAAATTTTAATTATTAAATTAATAAATTTTTTATTTTTATTTTATTTATCTTTTATTCTTTCTACCAAATAAAATCTGTTCTTCATTGACTCCAACAAAAGTTAAAAAACTTGTATTTTAATGTTTTTATTCAAATGAAAGACGTTAAGTTTGATTTATACCCTTCATGCTTTGGTTTTTACACCTTCTGACAATTGGATTGGCGCCCGTTGCTTCCAAATGTAAACTTTATAATTCTTTGTAACTCTTAGATGCCACTACTTTGTAAACAAAACAGAAGCTCTCTAATTTGTTGATGTTAATTAATTTATCATCAAAATATCATCCAAAAAATTTTTCTTTAAATAAAGTTTGTTTTATTATTTTTTATTTTTTTTTATCAAAGCCAAAACCCTTTGTTTTAAAACAAAAGAATAGATCAATTATAGCCATATTTAGATTAGAGAGACAAATAATTATCTAATTTTTTAAGAGAAAAACATAATATTATGATTAATTTTTAAATTATAGTAAAATATTTAATGTGATATATAATTTAAATTTTTTAATATAATATTTAAATTATAAATTTATTAATTAACATAATATTTAAAAATTTATTTATATATCACATATTATCATTTAAAATTATTTATACTAAAAAAACATATTAATTAAATCATTTATATTATCATATTATAAATTTTAAAATTTAAAAAATACTTTCAAATTTTCATTATTATTAAGAGGTAGTTTTTATTTTAATATCACTAAGTGTTTTATTGGATTCAATCACATATTTAATGTGAGTCGATTGAATTTATCGTATTATTAATTAAATTTAAATATTAATTTTAATAAAATATATTTAATATAAATTTTTTATTAAAATTTTTTAAATTATAATTATAATAGTTTTATTATTATTTTTAAATTTTTCGTATTTAATCTTACCGTGATCCAAATGGAGCAAAAGAAAGCAAAGATGCGATAAACCATCTGCTTCACACGTAACAATTATTTTTCTTTTTAGAAGAAAAAGCCAAAAGATACATGGGACTTGGGCCCCACTTTATCTCAATCACAATCATCATCGATCTGACGGTTCATATTCACCCAATTACACTAAGTTCTCACTTCACATGGCACGTTTTTATAACAAAAAAAAATCCAAAGAGAAGAATAGCAGAAAGAAGGGTTTCCTTTCTTCATTTTTGGTATTTCTTTCTTTCTATTTGTATTAGAAAGTTGAAAACACTTAGCCTACATTTGAAGAAGACCTTGCCTCCTTAAACTTGCCTTTTTCTTCTTATTTTTACTCGTTTTCTCCATTTCCATAAGCAAAACGTAGAGTTTCGGTTCATCATGATGAAGAAGATGATGATGATTATTATGCCACCATGGCTCCTCCTGGCTTTGCTTGGGGCACTCATAAAGACCCTGAACCTGCTTTAGAGGTCAGGACTTCGTTTTTAGTTTGAATATATTGTTTTTATGATTAGCTGATGGTGAATTTTTGTTTTTGATATATTTTTTTGGTATTTGGATTATCCAAATAATCATAATATTTGGTATTGTGTTGCTGATGTTAATGATAATGGATATGATGTAATGCATGACCATAATGTCACATATAAAGTTTTGGTGGTATTTTGTTTTATAAAGATCATCGTGAAGTATGAATTTTGGTGATGAAGTGGATTATTTGTTCATGAATATGGACCGTTTTTTTTCCATAAGATATAAAATTTCTTATTGTATTAAATGTCGATTTTTAAAGTTAGAGTATGATGGATGATGATTATGCTTCCTTTTAAGGGAATTTGTTTGTGCTGGAAAAATGTTTTAATTATATGTGCTTTTGACCAAAATTTCTTGTAGTTGGTTTATCTTTGTTGTGCTATATACTAGGAAATGAATCTTGTAATGTGTATGCAAGAATGCTTGTGGATTTATGAACATCATGATGAAATCTGTATGGAGGATCCATATTCGTTCCTGCTATGCTTTTTTGGTTTTTTTTTGTCAAAAGCAATCAGTTTCTTCCTTTCTTTTTTGCCAAAGAAGGATATTCTCTTTTAAAAGGAATTGTTTATATCTCTTGCTTTATATGTTTAATGAATTAATGATGTTGATAATATACATGCTGTAGTTGGCAAGTTTTAGATTTTTTTGCCTCCAGATCCATAGGATGCTGGTGAATGGTTCTCTTGCTTTCATTATTCTTCTGGTTTTTTTTTAGTTTCATGAAATTAAACTCGATTTCTCGAAGCTAACGTGTGTATGATGTCATGTGTTTGAGGTTCCACTCTACCTGGTGTACATACATACTCAATCACCATTTTGGTGGTTTTTGACTCTTTTATATGTATCTCTGTGTGTGCGTGTGTGTGTGTATTTGGTTGAGTTCACATTTAACTTTGGATATAGATTTTGGTCATTCGTCTAATTCTGATCAGTTATACAAAACTAAAATTGATTCTTAAATTGAACAAATGTTTAATGTCCTGTTTTTGCAGGTTGGGTACCAATTAATTTTGTTTGCACATGTATTTACTCATTTTTGGTCTTTTTGATTATGGTCAGATATATCAAGTAATTTGATTGTTGCTACATTGAACATTTGAGATTAGTTTGTTCTTTTGCTGTTACGTACAGGTGTATGAAATGTTGTCATTTAGCTTGTTAGATTCAATACATTAGTACTAATTCAGCATGTGTAGAGGGAGAAACTTTTTGTTGGTTGCATTCTAGACTGTCTTCATCAAGTCAGTAGTGATTAAATGATGCCAGTTGGCAAAACGGCAGAGCAGTGGTTACAATCTCAATGACGAATGTCACTGAGTAACATCAAACTATAGTTTATAGAAAAGAGAGGAGGGAATGGGGCAGGGGGAGTGTGCCGGTTTCCCTTCCGGTCTTTAACTTGATGTTGTGAATGTTGTCTCAAGTATTTTGTAAACTATATTCCCATTTGAGGTAAAAAAAACTCTAAATATGTGATAAGGATATCATAGACCTGGGTTTTAATGCCTAAATGTCTTCTGAATGCCATTATTACTTGGTTTTTATCAGGTAGTTGTTATCTTTTTTTTATTTTCCATTCCAGGAAAGTGAAAGTGAGGAAGAAGGTCTTGATGAAGTTGATGATGTTGTTGAAGAAGAACATGAAAATGAAGTTGAGGCCCAGGTAGAAGTGCAGCCAGTTGTTAACAAGTCTCCTGAAGCCTCTATTGTCACTAAAGAGACAGAAAAACAGCTTTCAAAGAAGGAACTGAAGAAGAAGGGGCTTGAGGAACTCGATGCTATTCTTGCTGAGTTAGGATACACCAAACAGGATAAGAGTAGCCCCAATGACTCCCATGGTAATTTAGCTTATTGCACATGTGCCTCCTACTCTCTCCTCGTTCTCAAATGAATGTTTAGTCTGATTTCTTTGCAAGGGGACATAATTTTAATGCTGAAATAGGTAAAATAAAACATGTAGCCACTTATGAAAATTGGAAGTGTTTAATTACCTTTCAGAGATTGAATGCTTTCCCACTTTAAAAATAAAGAATTCTGGAAGTTCTCTCTTTTAAAGTCATTATGTTTCTTCATTCGTCTGTTGTGTATCTAGTTAAGCTTCTTCCGGTGAACTGGAACTCTGTTTACCTGTAATGTTTGTATGTCTCTTGTTCTAAAGTGGTTTGCTTTCCACATTTTTCCAATGATATCACCTATTAGCTGTAATACAAGACAGAGATAGCAACTCATCGCTATTATGCTCTTGAATATTTATCTGAGAATTTAATGGATTGAAATTATATCCTTCTAAAGGCTGAAGTTGGACGTCCATGCCATGCCCCTTACAGCTTGGAACTGAGACTTTACTTCAAGTGGTGGTTCGTTTTACTATTGCATTGTTTATTTGGTGTAAACTATTCCACTGTTTATTGCTTTCTTGATTGATTACTTAGCAGTTTTTCTTACTCAAAATGATATTTTTTCCCCTGATTGCAGGCATTGGACAGGGGGAAAATACAGAGAGCTTTGCAGAAACGGAAAAGAAAGTGAATGCTCCTACAGAGAGCAAAAGTGTCAAAAAGAAGAAAAAGAAGGATAAATCATCAAAGGAGGTGAAAGAATCATCACAGGGCCAGTCTGAAGGCATTGGTACCGGAAATAACGCTGAAGAAACTGGTGAAACTAAGAAGCCAGAAGAGACATCTGCTGTTGATGTGAAAGAGCGGCTGAAAAAAGTAGTTTCTACAAAGAAGAAAAAATCAAGTAAAGAGATGGATGCTGCTGCACGAGCTGCTGCCAATGAGGTTGCTGCAAGGAGTGCAAGGCTTGCTGCTGCTGCAAAGAAAAAGGAGAAGAATCACTACAATCAGCAGCCTGTGCGGTAAAATGTCAAGAGATTTGGATTTTGCTTTTCATTTTAACTTGTTACATATGAATCTGTACCCCACTCCAGTTCGTTTTGTTAATGGAAAATAAACATCAGTAAATGGTTTTTGCTATTTCGACTTTCTGAGAAAAAAAAATTCAGTACATTTAGTCTTGGTGTTTCTTCTTTCTCCTGGATGTTGGTGGAAATTCAAATTAGTAGTAATATTTTATAGGGTACACCTTGTCGCAGATAGTTTTCTTTAGCAATTTACTAGGAACTTGTATTAATATTCTGACTGAAGAGCTTGGTATGCTTGAAAGGCAAGTTCTGTCATAAATACTGCAGCTGTTTGGTGTATTATATCCCATACTTGAAGATATGGGATACTTTTTACAACAGTAGTCTCTAGGATTCCTCTTATGATCAAATCACATTTGTGCTAGATTTGCAGTTCATGAGCAAGTCCTGATAGATATAGACGGTGATGATAGGTGTGTATAGAATGATATTGGTTGAAAAAATGAAAGAAAATGAAATACAATGGTGGTAATGGAGTGTGAAGATTGGAGGAGTAAAGGATTGTTCTGGAGTTGAGGGTTGGAATGTTGCTCCAAATTATGGTGGGTTTCCTCCAACCAATAGCCTTTCTCTACTCGAATGTCTCCTTTCCAAGTTGCATTTTTTTTCGTCTGCATATAGTTTTTTTGCACAATGGCAGGGGTTGTTATCATAGACTTTCATTTTCATGCCTTCTTCATGAATCTAATCTTTCCTGATCTTAAATTCATGGTTGAATATAAATTATCCCATAAAAGAGAATGTTTTTACAGTTGGTAACAAATAAATATAGGCCAGCATGACACAAGCTGAGGTCCCTTGAAAATCTCCTAATGTAATGGAAGCATCTTTTGGGTCAATAACAATAAAATCAATCTTCCACAAGCGCAATTTCTTGGCATGACCTTTCTCATGGCTTCTTGGGTTCAAGAGCTTCATTTCTCTCACCTGCACATCCTTGTAACCATTGATAGAATGATGCCTGTTGTGCATCCTGTTCCGATTGTCCCTAGCAGCAGCTTTTACTTGTCAAACCTTGATGATATGGTCGGGGCACGTGCTTTCACACCGTGTATTTTAATAGATCAAAAGACTCGAGTTCTAATAGAGATCCAGTCATAAAAACATTGTGCGATGCACTAGCCGGAGTATTGTTTCCTTACTATCCTTTATCTGGTAGGCCCTGAGAGACCCAAAATGGGAAAATAGAAGTTTTTTTTGGACGAGAACAGGGTGCACTTGCGGTAGAGGCACACTCTGTTATGGTTTTAGCCGAATTAAGAGAACTTGCAGTTCCAAACCCAGCGTGGGCGCCATTAATCTATAGGTTCCTCAATGAAGGGCCATACAAAATTCTTGACATGCCATTAGTTATATCTCAGGTAACCCCTTTTGGGTTTGGTGGCTTTAGCCTTGGCCTGAGACTTTGCCATTGCATCTGTGGTGGCCTTGATGCTATGCAGTTTTTTGGTGCATGGCTGCCACAGCAAAAACAGGTACATTGGTAACAAATCCTGAGCCCCGTTGGGACAGGGAATTTTTTCCAGCCTCGAGATCCACTAGTGGTAAAATATCCACATCCTGAATTTATGAGAATTGTCGTTGATGAAGGTTCAAGTTTAACAATGAGTCTATGGAAAGCCAAGCCTGTTCAAAAGTGTTACTAGGTTAGCCGTCAGTTCAAAGCGCAACTAAATTCTCTAGCTCAACCTTTGATGCTATGGCAGCTCATGTTTGGAGGTCATAGGTGAAAGCCCTTGATGTAAAACCACTAGACTATGAACTTAGCCTTACATTTTCAGTCAATGCTCGTCCCAAACTGAAAAACCCTCCATTGAAAGAAGGGTTTTATGGCAAAGAAAACACAATTTTACAGACTTAACACATGTAGCCACAGTTTTTACGTTCTTATTATTATATGCGAAAAAAAAAAAAAAAGAGCCCGGCCGTGAGTCACCAAACCGTAACGTTATCGCCAACCGCAATAGAATTGTTTTGACAGTGTTGAAGGTTGCTCACAACAACGAAGCAAGCGACTCCCTCGTTTCTTCTCCGAGTTGTCCATTCTCTCTCTTCTCTTCTATTCTATTCCCTTTCTCTCTTTTGATTATCCTTTCGATTAATCCTTAATAATTTGTCATTAACATTTCTTAATCAAGAAAATTTTTGAAGCTCAAATCGGAGACACTGAGAATCCGATCTCGTTTTTCGGATGCGAATATGGGGTTATTCTTTTTGTAGGCATTTAAAATTGATGGGAAAAGGAATGAAGAAACTGGCCAGAATGGCAGATTTCGTAGATAGGGGTTAGAAACTGGGGGCCAATCAGTTACAGTCGCACCGTACACCCCCGTCACACGTGTGAGACTCTGGTACTTCCTCCGCCCTAACAATGCTCCTCCTCTCCACACTCTCCACTACCTCGACTCTATAACAACCCGCCCCTTGCCTCCGAACCCACCCGATCCCCGACCCACTTCCTCCATGGACCACCACCAACCGTCAACCATATCTCCTCCCCAAGAAGAACCCGAGTACCTTGCCCGTTACTTCGTCATCAAGCACTTGTGGCGCGGCCGTTACAAGTGAATCCTTTGCATTTCTAACGTTGCGATCGTCACGCTCGATCCCTCGACGTTGTCAGTAACTAATTCGTACGATGTCTCGACAGATTTCGAAGCCACCACGCCGATTATCGGTAGGGATGAGAATTCTACCGAGTTTAATATGTACGTGAGGACCGATGGAAAAGGGAAATTTAAGGCGATTAAGTTTTCGTCGAGGTATCGGGCGAGTATTTTAACGGAATTGCACAGGATTAGGTGGAATCAGTTGGGAACTATAGTTCCCGGTGTTGCATCTACTGAGACGTCGTGCCGAGTGGGGCCCTTTTGTAAGTTTTTGCTGGATTTGGTTTTGCTCTTGCATTTGTTGATTGACTTTGTAAAGTGCTAAATTTTGAATTCTAATGAAATTAGCTTCTAAGTTGACTGAATTTGGCTATTGGCTTTGGATTATTCTTCAACTGCTGTTTATTCAAATGTAATTGAAGTCCTATTAACTTCTATTTCGGCATTGTAGAACTCAGATAACAAATTTTCTCTGATGAAGGGAGAATGATGCAAAGATATAAAGAAGCTGATTAAAGAATGAGAATTAGTTAGGATTTTGTTTGATGAAATCTTCTTAAGTTTTTATTATGATTTCTAGTTTTTAGGGCTCTTTTTTGGGTTATATTTAGTATTTTGTGGTTATTTCATGGGTTGGAGTATTAGGAATTATTGAGACTTGAGTTAGTGACATTTTTAGTGATGAGATTTTGATAATTGGAGATAATAAGATTTAAGATTTGACTATTTAGATTTTGGTAATTGAGATCAGATTGTTTCTGAGAATTTGCTTGAAATTAACTGCTTCTAGATCAATTGCATATCTAAATAGCAGAGGTAGTTTATAACTGTTTATTGTCTCTATTTACTACTGGTTACTTTGAATTTATGTATTGAATTTGCCCGTTCAAGCTTTTAACAACTGATTGTCTGTTCAGAAATTGAAGGTCACGTATGTTGGGGTTGAACTTATAGACTTAGAATCTGGAGATCCTCGCTGGTGCTTAGATTTTAGAGATATGTCTTCGCCAGCCATTTTTCTACTTGCAGAAGCTTATGGGAAGAAAAATGTTGATCACAGTGGTTTCATTCTTTGCCCTTTATATGGAAGGAAATCTAAAGCCTTTCAAGCTGCTTCAGGGACCACAAATTCTGCTATCATTTCTAGTCTGGTATTGATAATGTCTTTAATTTACTTTCAAAAATTTTTTTCTACTTGGTTGCATATGGGAACTTAAATTTGAAAGAAGGGATTCGGATTCTGAATAAGGACTAATTTTTGTGATAGAACTCATGAAAACATGACTTTCTTGATTATTTTCAAATAAGGGATTTGCTAGATCTCTATTAAATTGTGGATTTGAAATACCTTAATAGTTTGGGAAATGTCAAGCTCATCTACTTATATCCTCTCAAATACATCGGTGTATTGAGTTTTAATTAGTTTTTAGATAATATTTACTTCCATCCTTCGCTATTTGTGTAAGAAACTGAATCCAAATCCATTTGTCCAAAAATTCATGTTTCCATTTATCTTGAAATTCTTCCAATCTAATGAAGTTGCTCCATCTTGGATAGTGAAGTATCCCTCTAGGTCATATTATTCTTTTACTTTATATTTTATGTTGATAAGTAATTATTAAATATATTTGTGTAGACTAAAACTGCAAAATCCATGGTTGGAGTGTCACTTACTGTAGACAATTCACAGTTTCTCACTGCAACAGAGTATATAAAGCAAAGAGGTAATTTTCTAAAAAGAACTTCCTTCTGTTTTCAGTCCTTAACTTCCTCTTCATCCTCTTTTTTGCCTCTTCACTTTCTTGGATATAATTCTTCTGGTGTTTCTTTCATTAATATGGAAAACATATGTAAAACACAGCCAAAGAGGCAGTTGGAGTAGAAGAAACCCCTTGTGGAGGTTGGTCTGTAACTAGATTGCGTTCTGCTGCTCATGGAACTTTAATTGTTCCAGGATTGAGTTTCAGTGTTGGCCCAAAAGGAGGACTTGGAGAGCACGGGGATGCTGTCTCTCATTAGCTGATCCTCACAAAAGCCTCCCTTGTTGAAAGGCGGCTAGATAACTATGAAGTAAGCTAACTACCTTCATCCATTGATAAAAAATTAGAATTAGTATAATGCTGTATGGTGGTTGCATAACTTGCCTCAGGAGTCCATTTGGGTTACACTTAATTGACTTCAACCATTGATCTGATTGGAATTATAATTAGGAATTGCTCTTGAATTGGGGCTGGCTGAATGCTAGATATGACCATCTTTGCATTGTTAAGCCAAAGGCAGACTATGGTGACTACCCGTGAATCATTTTAACAATCATTCAAGTTCTTTATGGGGGAAAATTGTTGCTGGCAAAGTACTTCTTTTAAGAGATTCAAAATTGAGAAATGCACGGGTCTATTTATGGTTCTACAAAGCATTAAAGGATACATCTTTGAATGAGGTAGAGTGCATTGACAGTTTATTACTTATATTTCATATCATAACCAATAAAAGTGTGATAGTGTTAGTTCAACATATAGAGGGAAGTGTTACATGTTGCATAATGCAGATAGCTAATATTACATGCTTAATCTTTTTTAAGGAATTTTTGAAGTCGAATTAATCAAATGCTAAGAATTTTCCTTAGATATGTGCAGGCTGTCATTGTTCG